TTAATTTGTCCTTATCGATTCCCTTCATTGTACATTTCGTTAGTCTATTCGATTCCATTTGAGATGGTAATACGTGTATTTTATTATAGTTTCTATTTCTTTTTTGCCTTTGCTGAGTTTCTATGTTTCTTACAGAACTGCATTTATTTTGTTTTAGCTGGTACTTATTCTTGGCGAGAGCCATGTTGATTTGTTCTTCCCTTGATTGTCTTGCTTGCCTTGACTGGAATTGTGCATTTTGATTATGAATAGGGGCACCCTTCCGGGATAGGAAACAATATGTTATAAAGCAACCAAATATTATCTTCCGAACGAATCTGATCTATACAGAAAGGATAGAATAACATTTATTTGTTGCTACTGATTTGACTGACTGGACAATTTTTGTTGGAACAACTGAGTGGTAATTTTGTTTACGTAGTGCTTTACATTTATATTTATGATGAATATCAGAACCATAATTTACCCAACCACTTTGTTTTGGTTTCAACTGGGCAATAACGCGTATCTAAACCACCTTGACAGCTATTCTTCAGTCCAAACCTCATTTTGAATTCTACACAGTTGGTTCTAGGGTTTCTTAGTTTGAAGTGAAATCAACTTAAGGCTACAAACACGAGTCATCGACGTAGTTGACACTGAAAAGTGACATCACTTTCACTGATCAGTTACGTCCTGCTACATCGTAATCAGCCGTGAGGAAATAAAATGTTCTGCCCCCCAGACATGAGTGTAAATGGATTTCTACAGTGGCCGTTCCAATGGGTTCCAATAGGTGCACTCCTGTACTCGTTTCTCCCAATCCCAGGTCCAAACAAATCAAAACAGGACAAAAATTCTAGGAGAAAGGGTCTTATTTAATAAAGACATGGAAATACAAAGCATTACCTGGAATTAATGCTCCTTCCAGGATACAATTACTCCGAAAAGTATCAGAAACAACGATAGATAAGTGACGTTAAGTCCAGCGGCTACTGTATCAATCCAAATATGGCTGTAGCCATATTAAAGATCAAATTTAAACAACATATATACAATCAGAAGCAAACACAAAAACTTCAATATAAGTACAAAATATAGAAATAATAACAATATACAATGATAAAATCTCAGATTGTAATCAAATAAAATACCAAAAATGTCAACAGAAAAAGTCCGTCATGTCATAACAAAAATATGTAAACATGGAGGGATTTTCCAAAAAACAAAACATTCAAAAAGGATTCTACAATGAGTGGACCGAGGTTATCGACCCACTATCATATTTGCTGGTCAGACACACGACGCTCCTGCCCTTATTGATGCCCAGCTATCTTACATTTATGGTATGCTTTAGTGGCGTCTTGGTTTAAGCTCTGTTGTTTGCACGCCTTGTCGGAAATGCACTATTTTCATGTTACGTAAAACAACACAGCCTAAGCCTCTGTATGTTTGGTTGTATACTCATCTAGCAAATCACATCGAAATGAAGTTAACTAATGGTATAAAGTGTAAGAAGCAGGTCAGGCAATAGGTAGTTTGGAGATAAGAAAGCTAGCTGATGAAAGAATATCGAGTAAAACTGTGTTAAATATTTATGAGTAAGGTGATAAGTTAGTAAGAAAGCATGACGTCCGAATGTTAATAAATCGAGGGTATTGAAATTTCTTAAGCTGACAACACTTGAACCAGTAGGAAAGCGGTCTTATTAATAAAGACATGGAAATACAAAGCAGTACCTGGAATTAATACACCTTCCAGGTTACAATTACTCCGAAGAGTATCCGACAAAGGTAAATAAGTGACGTTAAGTCCAACTGCTACCGGATCAATCCAAATATGGCTATATAGGGATTTTCCCAAAACAAAGCCTTCACAATGCATTCTGCAGCCCATAGGAAGAGAAGAAAATCCAACTGAGTCTCTAGATGACCTTACAACATTGGAGGAATGGATTGTGGACAGTATAGTAAAAGTGGGCTAGTCGCAGTGTCACATCACGAATATTATGTCATACATGAAACAAACAACTTACATCCTCAATAGGAGTCTTCCCCCCAAATGTGTCCCCAGAGCGCAATCTCTGTCAAACAACCACAGAGGGCCAGGATACTACCTCTGGCTACATAGGGAATTCAGTCAAAGAAAAGGCAAATATTTACTTTATGCGAAGACAAAATGATGCAACCATCCCACAATTGTTCTTAATCCTCTATAAAGCATACACATGACCACATCATGGAGTTCAAAGTATTTTCTCTGCCTAAAAGAGAGACAAGTCTCCTGGATCGTGTACGGAGACGAGCAACCAACGGTGTTAAAAAATGAACCCTTAGAGGACAAACTCCAACATTTGGGGTTGTTCCTTCTAAGTTATGGGAGAACCAGAAGTGGTCCCAGAGTGGCATACAACATATTAAGTTTACAGAATCATTCCGACACGAACGTATTTCCAAAACATCGCCACCAGGTTTCCCAAGGTAACCCTGGAAAAATTACATCAAAGAGTGAACACCTAGGTACGTGCACACTTTTGCACATTCAGAGTTGTCCTAAGTTGGAATGCTCTCTCAGCTGAAGTGACACAGCCCCCTTAGTGGATAGCTTTAAGAAGAGACTTGGCAAGTACGCACTCACATATAAATAATCATCTCCAGCTGGGAGCTGCTGTGCCTGATATATATCTCGGAACTTCCTTGTTTTTACTATTATTTACGGTCATCTGGAAAATAATAGGTGCAGTCGAGTGGCTAGACTTCTATCCATTAGACATTACCAAGTACCTGGAACCGTACCGTAAGAAAAAGAATGGAGCTTAATGAAACCAATCTGACTGAACTAGCTTGTCAACCGATTTGTGACCTGTTCAGGCACTCACTGGAGTCACACCACTTCCCAGCTGAATGGAAGAAACAAGTTACTTTCTCTCCAATCTTCAAAGGAGGAGATAGAAAGGACCCAGACTGTTACAGACCACTCGCACTACTACCAATATTATAAAAGTTAATGGAAGGGCTGGTGGACGAACAAATGAGGGAGTACATAGATAAGAATAAAATACTCCATGAAGCTCAACACGGGTTTCGGAAAGGCAAGTCGTGTGCATCTAATCTTCTCATTGCATGGGACAGTTGGACATCCTAGTTGGACAGAAAAATACCGGTGCACGTAATATTTCTCGACTTTGCAAAAGCCTTTGACACAGTACCCCAAGGACGCCTAACCGAAAAGGTTGTGGAAATGGGCTTCACTGACCCGCTCGTATCTTGGCCCAGAAACTACCTTGAGAACAGAAAGTTTCGCACTAAGGTAAATAGAGTGCACGCGAGCTGGCGAGTATCCACATCGGGAGTTTCACAGGGGACCATCCTAGGTCCACTTCTCTTCCTGATATTTATTAACGACCTGTTAGGCTTAGTTAGCTCACCGGAATTGATCCATACAGACGATGAGAAGATCTGGAGGTTTATTAGAAGCGAAGAGGATTCGACTGAGCTTCAAATGGACCTTACATCGATTGAAGAATGGTCAGTGAAAAACGGTTTAAAACTCAACCAACCAAAGTGTCACGTCATGCATATTCCGCCTCACACGACGCAAACGATCTATACCCTCAATGGAAGTCCGCTCCCTAATGTCTCCTCAGAGCGTGATCTCAGTTTAATAACCAAAGAAGCCACAACTCGAGTCGAAACTATGTAGAGGACGCAGCCAAGGCAAATGCGACTCTTCGCTTTATGAGAAGACAACTTGGTTCTATCACCCCGCAATTGTTCTTGACCCTATTTAAGACGTACGCGCGCCCACACTTGGAGGTTCACAACGTCATCGCACCCCCTCTGCTTGAAAGAGACATAAATCTCTTGGATCGAGTCCAAAGACAAGCAACCAAATGGGTGATAGGGTTGAAAAATAAACCTTACGACGACAGACTCCAGCTCTTGGGATTATTTCCACTGAGCTACAGGAGAATCAGAGGTGATCTGATTATGGCGTTCACCATATTAAGTACGTCAAACCATCCCAATGTGAGCATCTTACCGATGCAATCCTCGAAAGATTGTACACCAAAGAGCGAATACTCAGATTCGTGTACACTTCTCATTGTGAGTCGTCGCAACTTGGAATGCTCTCCCAGCCGAGGTGACCACAGCCCCCTCAGTAGACTGCTTTAAGAAGAGACTTGATAATCACGTACTCACATACGGGCTGTCATCTCCATCTTGGACAAGCCGTTCATGATGCATAACTTTAGACCTGCTGGTTATCATTCCCATCTCCTCAGATAACTTAAGTAACCTATCTCGCCTATCATCTTTGTTTAATTTCGCTTGCTTAAACTTCGGTCCTCTCTCACAATCTTCACTACCAATTAACAAACTAAATTCATCTATACATTACTCAGTTCTGAAATTTTATTCATATTAGCATTAGAATTTTATCCTTATTATCCTTATTACTCTCCATATTGCAACTGACTTACCTCCGGTCCGGTAATGTGATGGCTGCTGGTATCCAGAAACCCTAATGCCCTGAAACGAACGTCTTCATTCAAATCCCGAGACATACAAACAAGCAAACAACTGCAATCTGCCTAGAATTAGACAGTCGAGTGGCTAGGCCTCCATCCTTGGACATTACCTAACACCTGGAACCGTAGCGAAAAAACAAGAATCGAGTGCAAAGAAATCAATTCGTTTACACTAGCTCGTGAAAAAGATATTGGATATTAGTGAATTGGTTGCTATGACGTTTATTAGTGTTTTTCAGCGGGCAGTTTAGAAATGGATTTGGTCACTGCAAATGGACTTAGTGAGTAGTTTTTATATTCAGAATGTACATTTTACCAAGAGATCAAAAAAGCGGATCTTGATTTATATAACAAAATAAGGTACGATCTATTCATCGTCTCTCCTCTAAGGATGTTCACAATAGGAAGGAAGTTGAAAAAGAATTTCTGGCCAAACCTGAAACTGTGGATTATAGATCAGTAACAAAAGTTGATTTTCATCAACATGTACTTCAGCCACACCCGAAGCCCGAACCAATGGTACGTATTTTACCACCAAGCTAGGATTCAACTATTTTTAAGGTCTATTAACCTTTAATATATGTTCACCGATGACCATTCAATTAAATAAGGATAAATAAATAAAGACTAAATTCCAGGTAACTACACGCGTAACCGGTTAAGAAAATTTAATCTGATGATGTTGCACTGAAATTTCGCTCTTTGTCTTGGCTGGGGAAATAATGAGAAATTTCGTCTGTCTCACAAGAGACGAAAGGTCCATAATTTCACTTTCGTAGTCTTTGCATTGTCTACGTTTTGCCTAAATAGTTGAACTTGGTGTAAAAATTGATTTTTTTCGCCCTTATTCTCCCACGTTCATACATATTTCCTCGAAGTTTGTTTAATTGGATGTCTTAGAAATTTTCATACTTTACTGGTTGAAAAAACAAGATGTAATAGGCTTTTTAAATGAAGATTTTCCACTTTATAGGTCACTTATATGTGATACGCTCCATCAACTCCTCTTACAGTACCGATCAGTAGTTGCCATTACCCCGACCCTTATAGCCTACTGAACTACTGTGGGGTCTCGATAAAATATTGTGTCTCTCAGTCGTAACCCGAATAAAACGGTTGAGCGGCAATTTTTATCGAACAGATAAAAAAGAAATATTGCATAAATGATCTGATTCATTAGTTTTTGTTTCAGTGTAGAAAAGCAGGAAGCTGAGTAGCCCGCGTTTGTCCTGGTAATGTTATTTTCTCGTTTGGACCAGCTTACTTTGAATGCTTCAAAAGATGGAGTTTCAGTTATCTATTGAGGCAATCAGTTCCATTTTTTAATGATTCGATGAGAAAGTCGATATTGAGCTGGCAAGTAATTTGTTTTGGGCTTGTGGGCTTTTTTAGTGTTTTCTTAGATTCTCCATTTTAGAAGGCGATAAAAATGAGGGTATGTCACATGCGAATTTATCAATAAGTAATCTAAAAACTGCGATCAGGTCACTTCTGGTCGTTCCCTATGACAGGGTTAAAAGCCTCTTGGCATACAGCAGTCTTGCGATTCCAGGAATCAGTTTGATTGTGGTCCTTTAAACCTCAGTTTTTAAGCAGGAGCTGGTTGCTTATGTGCATTACTCGAGTATAGAACAAACAACTACAATGTACATAGTAAATAATGTCTCAGCATCAACATGGCTAGATGCTCTACGTATTGAACAAATGACTCTAAGACCTTTGGTGACTATCGCACGGCACCGAGCAATAGTTTTTTAGTCCTGTTTAATGATGATTTTAGGTCAGAGTGTGTCTGGATAACGGATGGTTACATGTTGTCCACTGTGCCTATATCTATACTTGGAAGCATCTATCAGCACCTGCCAAGTTGTAGACCATTCGGATCGTTTCTGTAGGTCATTTTGTAGCTATAACCTATCACCTTCATTTCTCATCAAATCTCCACATCTGGACATCGTCACCATATAACAAAGCCAACGAAGACAGGAACCTAGGAAGGTCATTTACATGAGGAACAACACTGGCCCGAAAACTGTACTCCGAATCACTCTAGTAATAACAGTCTTCCAGCCCAATATCTTAAAGTTAACCCTTACTCGCTCTTAACGCTCAACTAGAGACTCCTTAAATCACAGTAGTAAGTTACCGTCAACCCCAATATCACTTCACTCTGATAAAAACTTGTTGAAGGAACTTCGTCAAAAGTCTTTCTAAAGTCAGTGAAGGCTACAGCTATAGGTAGCTTTTGGTCTTTAAAAGCGCACCAACTTTCATGTGTTACTCACAAGTTTGTGAGACAAGAACGGTTTGTTCTAAAGCCGTGCTGATTCTCAGAAGGAATAAAATTTTCGTCGGGATACATTAACAGCTCCTTACGAACAATATATAGTGAAATTTTCAAAACCATGCTCGTTAAGACTATGGGTCGATTGTTCCCAGGTTCATGTCTTGTACCCGTTTTGGAGACAGTAATTACGATGGCGTTCTTCTAGTCTTTTGGCAATCTATCTTGGGTTACACATAGATAGTATATACTTAAGGAATTTGCGATGAGACTTTATAGTTCCTTATGTAGTCTAGGATGCATTACATCTGATCCCATGGACTTATCTGAATCAAGCTTACTGAACAGACTGAAGTCGTCGAGCTCCTTAATAGTCACAGTGTCCAGATTGTGTATACAAGGATTTGCACAAAATGAAGAGACGGGTATCTCTATAGTATATATATCGCTGAAGTGATTTAAGAATACTTGAGTTTTACCAAAATCGTCTTCCATCAATAATTCAGTACTACTGCATCTTCATAATGCCGATATTCTGCCTCTTCTCTCAGTTCACTGGTTCGTGTACGAGTGTAGGCGTTTTAGATATTCTATACACACGGTGACAGACTTTGCTTCGTGAGACTTCATAGACTTATGGATCTTTTCTCATCAATGCCCTACCATAGCTGCTACCTTGTGGTGGTGGTCGGGCTTGCCTGTCATGATGACTCAACCGAGCTATATTGGCAAGAACATATGTTTCTGTAGGTTCTACCTCGCCAGGCAGGTCGACTGGAGAACGATGAGACTAAAGGCATCTACTCAAGGTCTGAGGGCGAAGTCACAATGATGACTGTAGAGGGGTGTGATGGCAGTAAGGTGTTTCGGACGGTCAACATCTGCAGCGATACCGCCTTCTCACAAGGAAGGAAGGGGTTAGAACAGGTCAACCCTAAAAATGTCACACCTCACCTTACCTCAAGGATTTCCGTCTCCAGTGGTAAGGCTTTTTAAACAAGAAAGGAGTTAAGACTTTAAATACTACCTATAAGAAGGCCGTGTGTGACCGGCCTAAAGAAGTCTTCCATTAGACTCTGAAGTCATGATTTCAGGTCGCTAAGACCAACGCTAATCTACCTTCCTATCAGGTTCCTCCAGAAACACCCTTCCACAGTGCGGGCAGCCGCTCCAGTTTTAGCAGTTAGATTGACTGAGTTCTTGAGTAGAATCTGGGGACTAGACGTAATCCCACCCTACTGGTCTTAATCCCTGATTGTCTCAGTCTACAAAAAAGGGCGAAAGTACTCTCGTAACAATCAGAGAGGAATATAGCATCTAAAATACTGGCCTTAATAATACTCGAACGTCTAACTAGAGCTCGAGAAGAGCAGACTGGAGAAAAACAGGCTGGTTTTAGATCTGGACGTGGATGTATAGACCACATTTTCAGATTTTGACAGGTGCTGGAACGCAGACACATATTTAGGCGTCCGACAAAGCGGCATTTGACTCTGTGGATCGTGGGGTTCTGTGGCAGTGTCTGTCATTGAAAGGTGTACCAAAGAAGTACATTAACCTTATACAAACTTTCTACTCGAACACTTCTGGTCGAGTGAGGGCTTATGGCCAACTGTCATCGGAATTCTTCACTTCAAGGATGTCCACTTTCCCCATTTTTGTTTAACTTTGTCGTGGACATGCTTTTAGAGTTAACATTATCCTCACCAAATTTTTTCGCGGAAGACCTCCTACCAGGAGGACCGCTTACTGACCTAGAATATGTCGATGAAATAGTTCTATTTGGTGAAGATACTGACAAAATTCAGAGTCTTCTGACTACGCTCTGAATTCCTCATCACTTTTTTTTATCTTTTCTAAATTTATGCCACTGAATTAAACTTCTCGAATAATATCTTCAAACCCTAAGCTTCCCCATCACCGCTAATACTTCTGCTATCTCTACCACTATGGTATTTGGACTGATGATTGAGTCTCTATGCTTACGTGGTATGGCAACCTGAACTTGTGCACTTACATACGAAGTTCTATGTTGTAACTGACTGACTGACTGACATCAACACCCAGCAACTTAAATGTCTCTCACTTTTTCATGCTCCGCAAGCGATAAGTCTTTACGAACAAAATTTTCCGATCGTTTCACTTCAAGTCCACTCTAAATTATTAGTTCCTTTCACTGGAGGGTTTAAATGCCAACTTTAGCAACCTGGTTTGCGCATCTCACTATTTAGTTAGTAAACACTCAGCAAGATGATTCTAAAGATCCATTCATTTTTCACACGATTCACATCTTGCTTGATTCATGTTTTCCTACTTATCGAAGTCGAAATTTTTCACAGAGAAGCCGCCGAATATGCCCATGGATTTGAAAACACAAGATAAAATTCCCTTGTTAGTTTGGGACTGAATTATTATTAATGTTGTTATGGTAGTAGATTTCATGCATTCCTGATACTGCTGAAGTATGAAAATGAGTATTCAGAAGGAATCGGTTAAAAAAATTCATCATAAGTAATTTTTCTAGACATACAGCTTGATTTCATCTGGAACCTGATTTTACAAGGGGGTTAATTTGATCTAGATGTAAAGTTCGACATAAAATGACCCGTAGTCCTTATCATGACATCCCTTCCACTAATAGGTTGAAGTTCTAGAGTTGATTGGTTTTATGATCTGCAGGGTTCCACATCTGAGCGCTATGCATCCTAATCCTATACTGGCCATTTAAGTAATAAGGAAAGGCTGGAAGAGAAAGTCTGTTTGGCCACCGAACACTCATATATATGCATGCATTAATCTCCTTAGAAAATGAATCCACTTTGTGACCGATGATATGCATTCTTCCCTTAGAAAATTTTTAATTGTCATCCTTTGACCTTATTTGGTCACTTCTGATTGGCTCACTATATCTTATTAACTTTTAAACCATTCAAAAATTTATCATGTATTCATGACTTAATGTCAACTTACAGGTAATTTAAATTTATACAACACTTTCATTTCCAGTTAACGAAAAAAACTCCCTTGCTAGTGGGGTTATATATTGCGTTACAAATCCACTAAACCAGTAGCTGTAATCACTGAAGCCTTGACAACTCAATTAATTTTTCTAACTTACTTGAATTATTCTTTTATGAGGTCTCTTTGAATGTTTTCTCCTAAATTCCTGTTCACTCAGTTTGATATATTCTCACGATAGCTTTGACCATAATGAAGAGTCTTTTGAATCATGAAATGATTGTGACTCAGTGTGGTTAATTGAATTTTCTGTGGAATGAATAGCAGAATATATCTGAAATAATTTTGGTAACTAGTTAACTACTTACTATTTTGTCAGTAGTATAAGTATTATGGATCAAAATATAAAGACGGCAAAGTTTAATATTCCTGGTTTTCTTAAGATGCTAACACTGTAGTAACATTTCGAGATTGTTGTTAAGGTTTAAAAGCTGTTTCCGATGGCCTCTTCGCAATAGATATTTTTGATGGATGTCTTAAGCATTAAGGAACAGATCATCAGTTGAATACAAATGATGTTACTTGATTTCTTGATATGAATGTGTTAGGATATTCCAATATCCTAAGAGATTTATCGGTCAAATCCTATTGGTCGATTTCTATTGGTCAAAATTATGGTCGTTTTAACTGTCAAAGTCAAATACTTAAATGTTGTCTCTTATTGGTCATCCGGACTGTCAATGTCATTTCAAATGTTACTTCCTATTGGCCATCCTAAATGTCAATGTCACAGAATTCGATGCTGTTTCCTTTTCAACCAAAATGTATAAATACGCATTATCTGAAACGTTTTATGACCACGACCAGGACCAGGACTCGGTCCTGGATCTCTAGTCTGGGATCCTGATTCTCTTCTGGATTCGGACCTCATACTTTCTGGATGCTTGTAGAAAACATGTTCCACTTCACATTCAAGTCTTCTTATTTTTACTCAATATGGGAGTTGGGATAATCGGATTTGAGTAGCATGTCATGTCGTTTTCCGACTAGGTAAACCCGTAATAGTTCAAGTATATCCAGTTGACGTGTTTACGTGCAGGCGTAACAGAATGTGAACAATCAAAGCATCTATAACTCTACTCCCTTACATTTCCATATGATCCATCTTTAATTTCTTTTAACTTTAATTATTTTTTGTTTCTTAGCTTCGTGAAATGGTTCTAGAACAACCGGTTACATTTTGGACAGAATACCGAGATAAAATGCATGTAATGTTGAAATAGTATTTTTTGTTTTGAAATGGTTTGATCAATATTGATCAGTATTAATATAAACGATTCAATTTAGTTTTTCTCACATGTCATTATTCACTCACTATTAACGATTTAAATTTTTCATGGAATTTAAAAGGAATATCAAGGGGATTTTTTTTTCTGAGAGGATTAAATATTCAGTATATTTTTGACAAGTAATGCAATTTTTTAATTTTGAAACATGATATATAGTAGCATCAAGTCAGATAATTACGAATTAATAAGTGCTGTCTTGTTATTTCACTACTTCAAGTCGATTTGTCAAGAATTTAAAAGTGTTTTTGAACAATGATGCTTTACATTTAAAGAATTGTGTTAAATAAAAATGACCTGTGATTAGTATGAATCTGACCCTAAAAGAAAAAACACAATGTATGTATATATGTTTTCAAAACTCTTCACAGTTTTGCATAGACTTACTTATATGACTTGTATTTAGTAATTAACCTAATGTAGATAGTGTTTTCTACAAAATGTAAAAAGCAATCGCTACTTTCACAATGCCAGTTAACCGACATAAATTTACTCAATTTATTCTTGTCAAAATGTATGAGTACACTGACTTAAAAAACAAAATTGTTTTCATAAATCACCTATTAATGCCTCATATCATTATGAACTTAATGCACTAGTTTCACTTAAAAAAGTAAAGTAAGAAATTGGAATTCAGATCAATATGGAAGGTTTTAATTTAAACGAAATTTTCAACTGTTTCTACTATTTATGATATCTGTCTCAATGTCATAGTTAGTCTCAGATCAATAGCTACACTACAGGTTACGTTATTCTCTGGAAAATCAATTTCATAAAGATGGTTACTTAAAAAACAACTGTATCAAAAAACGATGATTGATAATTGGACTGTAATTATTAGTTAAGGAAAATTAATAGCAGTTCATGATTAACACCTAACGGCATTTGAAAAATGCTATTTTTCGAATAGAAGTGTACAGAATCTAATGTGAAGCGCTTTGATGATAAGTAGTATTTGTGAATCTTTCCCTTTATTGCATAATTCTATAATTTTTCCAATGTCTAATTTGTAATGCAATAATAAATAATCCAATTCTTTGTATGAGATTGCATGGCTTGATTACATTTGATGATAGCTAGCTTTATTTCAGAATAATAAAATGCTTTCATCAATTTTATTCACTACATAAATTGTTTCAATTCAACCTAGTACTGAATAGAGTTCTGTGTTTTTTTTTCCGTTGCTCTTATTCAATGTAGTTAGTTAGCATTCATTAAAGAAAAAAAAAGACATTTTATGAATACTATTGACAAGTAAATCATAAGTAATCAATGTAAATTTTTTACATTGAACAATGTTCATGAATGATTTTATATTCATTATTAATCAAACACTACAACAACAGCTATTTAGTTGAGATAATAAATCACAGAAGAGAATAGAATAGTTGAAATTGATTTCATCAGTACGAATAATTTTATAAATGGTGTCCTGAATATCAGACTTTTTTTTCCCCATATACTCATCGTATATTTTCACTAGTTAACTACTGTTTGAACGATACTCGGATTTTTTTTCCCCATTGAATAAGTTTGCTTCAACTTGAAATATTGCAATTTCATATTAGGATTTAATATTACCCCTCAGTTTAAGTTCAATAATTTCAAGTTATATCAAAATAATCTATACACTAGATAAATGTTTTGCTTTTTTAACGGTAAAGCCAGCGAAAACACTAAAAGTCACACAACAGAATAGTTGAGAAACCTTTTAAATGTGGGATTTATCAATCTGAAGTATTAAACAGTTTCTGAATGCAACAAATAATTTGCGGCCTATTCGGGCAAGTTTAAACAATTTGCCTTTCTGTGCTGTATTATTCAAACTATTCTATTAATGAACATGGCTCCAGGAGAAACAAAACATCAGACTGTCATTAAGATTTGTTTGATGAATTGTCTGTCTATGTACTCACCTTTTCATTAATTGGATGAAAAGGAAACTTTAACTGATGTAGTATATTTGTTAGTCAGATGTACTAGTTTCACTTCACTCCTTGTGTTTGTCAAATTTATCCATGTTCTTCATCGATTCGGTCAACATAATTGCTTTAAAAATGCTTCAAAAAATGTATTTAGAGTTTTGTACTAAGCCGTATGAAACCTAGATGTGGTTAGTTAGTACAAATAGGATTATGTCGATAATAAGAATTAGTTGAATGATATCATTTAACGAAGAAATATATAACTATTGTTATTAAATTCTTTCCAACAAAATTTAAATAAAGATAAAACTCAAATTCCTTCTAAGATAAAGTTTATCTGTTCAACCATTCTATTGACATAATTTGTTAAGATAAATTTATTCATCTATGTCTCATACTAAAACGACATTTGCCTGTGTGGACTAGGCTAAACAATTCGATTAACCAAGGTAATGAGAGGACAGTAGTTTTTACTCAAAAGCTCATCTCTCCCCACTACTGATCGCATCTAATTGATCTGTACAGATAAAATAGGATCTAAATATATTGTAATTGATTGGTGAAGGCTAATGACTTCGTCTTTAATTTACATTCAACTACAATTGGTCGAAACATAAAAAAATACAACTAATTAAGAAGAAATTCTGTCACTAGAACTAATAAAAATAGAAACTAAGATATCAGAAGACATATTTTGTGAGATAGTACCATTTCATGCTTTCTCGTCAGTCACATACAAGCAACATGTTATTTGTGTAAATACAGTTTTGAAGATAAGGTCAAAATTTCTTATTTAGCATGACATTCACTCACTAGAACCATGGTAAACAAAGGTCAATATACAGTTGTTTTTGAACACATAAAGTTGGACTTTTCCGATCAATCAAGATAGCTTCGAGTAGTTTCAGTGTGTGTGGGTTTTAATTACATGTCACAACTCTAAAGGCTGATTTCGGGTCAATTTGTTGACCACTCATCATTAGATGTTTTGCAATGGACGAGGCTGGGTTTCTTGATCGATTTTGAGATGACGGGCTAGGTTGATGAATCATGGATTTGATTAGCCATTTTGGAATATGTTCCCCTATTCTGTCTTCCAATCGGCGATCTGTTCTCCCTAAGTAACTTTCTCCGCAGTTACATGTGAATTGGTAAATACAGTGGGATTTGGACTGAATCGGTCTTGGAGACTTGATTGGGGTAACTGAGATCAATTGAGTTGTTGTGATAAGCCTCCGATTAGCTGCATTGAAGGTCTTTTTTATTGCAGCTGCAGTCTGTTTGGTTGTAATTTTCATGCAATGATCACCCCTGAAAGGTAACTGTAGGTACACTGGTTTCTGGGGTACATCAGTTACTATCAGCTTCGTCGTAGTTGTGTTCTGATGGCCAATGTTGACCTTTGTTTACCATGGTTCTAGTGAGTGAATGTCATGCTAAATAAGAAATTTTGACCTTATCTTCAAAACTGTATTTACACAAATAACATGTTGCTTGTATGTGACTGACGAGAAAACACGAAATGGTACTATCTCACACAATATGTCTTCTCATTTCTCTGTTCAAATTTATCAAAGAGAACCACTGTTTTGATCTAAGATATCATCAATCTTTGATAAATCTATCCAACCCTCCTAAAGTTATTATTTACACATGAAATTTAGTACAAAATCTTATCTTTCTAAATATCAAATTCTATCATTTCACTACTGTTTCTATTTAAAAAAAAGAGGCCTAAAATAAAAACCAACTAAATTACAAGTCAATCAATAATTTCAACTTTTATAATTCTAAAAATTACTTCCTGATTAAAATGTCAATGATTAACATCTTCTACAAGCTGGAAGACGGAATGGGGACAGTACAACACAACCACCACTACCACTAACACCTAAAAACAATATTGTACCATGATTCTACAGAATCCCAATTGGATTGTTGTACATTTCCCAACTTATATGATGGTGAAACTCTACCGTTGTGTATTGATTTTGAGCAACTCTTTAAGATGACCTTTAAGTTTTCATACTTGCCTATTTAGACAATGTGAATACTGCAGATTACGAAAACTAAGAATCACTACACTAGTTAGTTAGCTAGCGGTTTTAATGAAAGCCAAAATTATGTGTGTAGTTTTTTTGTATACAACTTTTGAGTTTTCTTTAACTTTTTATCAGTTCTCATGATTATTGATAAAAAAAACCCATTTTTATTATACAGTGTCATTGATTCAAGAGATAAGAATTCTTTATAAGTCCTCTTAGCGGTTAATAAAAAAATACTCTTATAAACCATTTATCACAACGTTTACAATATGTGTGTACGTAGATTCAATGAAATATCACGAGATGATGTTATGAGATAATAAACAATTTGGCAATCTGCATTACGGGGTTGTGAAGTTTGTTAAGCTACCCATTTTTGAAACCATGAGTCGATCAATGTTAGAGCAGCATTCGAAACCTGGAAGCACTGGTAGACGGCCGTTTCGTCCTGGTATGAGACTCATTAGTGTCAGTGCGCATCCACGACTCCTGCACCCCGCAGGGTTCGAACCCAGGACCATCATCGGTATTGTGCGCAAACGCCTAACCATCGGACCACTGAGCCGGTATCTAACGGTGTTAATGTCTAACTTCGATCAATTCACGGAGTTGCACAACCTCATACACAATCTTCGGTATTTACTGCCTACACCCGAACAGGTAGAACTGGAGATCGTTTAAATGAAATGGTTAAAATTTTCAATTAATCTAACCTGTATGAGTAATTTTATTGTTCATTCTGTTAGTAATGCCAGGATAAGATTTAAAGTTGTTTTTGTAGAAATTAAAATAAGATGTTTCGTGAAAATTTAGTTTTCATCATATTAAATCTCTAAAAATCTTGTTTTATAAACATATGTAACTAATCCAACACTTTAACAAAGCTATTCTTCTCATCAAGCGAATTCAATTTCTCATCATGCTACATACTTTATTCAAAAATTTTAAAAGGTTTATTGTAGTACCTCCACATATATTCCAGTTCGCTTACATTTAATTTGGTTAAGCCCCTTCGATTAATTTATTTAACCAAGCCATTGACGTAGCAACAGCTTATATGTGCCATTCGTTCTTTTTGTTGTCTGATTTGTATGAGCTCACATGACGTGTCCCACGTGTCATTTGACCTTGTCAACTACTCGTCGCTTTTATTCATGTGTGCCTATTTCGCTTGTCACATGTCTGTCTTATATTTGTCTGGCAATATATTCTTAGTCATGCTTTGTTTCTGGGACTTGGCTCACTAGCCTTCTCCAATGCGCTTCGCCTATTCCTTCGCCCATTCGTTCGCACTGTAATCCTAGAAGTTAGCTCAACAGCCTTCTCCAATTCACATCGCTTCATTCGTTTTAATTACTGCTTCTCCGCTTCGCTTTGTGGTGTTTCCCAAATAAACGTATTCAACACTTTGTGTTCACCTTCTGATTTATAACCGTCAGATGCCACTTGATAACGATTGTCTAGACGAGCTAATAACGAAGATTAAGAACACGTCGAAATCGACACACTACATTATTTTTCACCTGATTCTCAATTGATTCGAGAGAATAATATTGATGTATAGTAATTTTATTTATTGATGAAATACACTAGAAAATCGTGGAGGCAAATGACCCAAGGTGTTAGAAGTAATGACGGTATCCGCAGTGATAAACAATGAAAGCTCCACAACCAAAACAACCAGCTCAGAGAACGAAACACCACCACAAACATGAGTAGACAATAAACTATATGATTCATTGACATAAATGAAGTCATGAAATAAAAAAGCAGCAGATAATTTTACAACTCATAATCTCAGAGAAAATTTAAAAAAATAATGAGCTCTACAGGTACGGTGGCCAATTTCGAGCTATGTTACCCAACATCTCCAACCATTGTTTACGATAGTTACATAAAACTTAACTAATTAGGCTGTAGCAATCAACGTACTTCACCCCAACTATTACTAACTTCATGAACTAGTGAGAAGTCTGTGTTTGGCTGCTCTTAACTTTTTTTCCCATCTAAATTCCCAGCAAACACCAGTTATATATCACAGTAGGGTGAAGCCCAAACCGCCTCAGCTGATGACTATTCACTAACCCATCAACCAATCTGCCAGCTTTACCTAGTACGCCACGTCAAATTTCAATAATGCCCAGTACTTTTAAAGTAGTTATTCCTAATTTAAAATGATGTTGTCTATGAATTATTTTTTAAACACAAATTAAACAGAAATAATTTCTATTCGATTTTTACAATTGAACATAAAAATGAATACCCATCAACTCATCATGAATTATTCAGCCTTATATCATGTAAATTTACTATTATTTATGATGGTGAGCAGATGAAAAAAAAACTGTTTTATCGTAAATTGATCACGTAATTATGGGAATCAGAAATAAAAAAAATTTAAGCAGGGATTTTCTTTATGTTATTGAATGGTCCAAAGTTAAACTTTACATACATACATACATAGTTGACAAATAAGTTCAATTTTTTATACAAATTTCCATAGCTCTCATAGTATATATAGTGTAGGGTGTAGGCAGTACCTACCGAAGATAAATGGGTGAGGTCGCGCTGAATCCCTAGATCAATCGGGGTGAGATATTAACACCGTTGGATGCCGGCTCAGTGGTCCAGTGGTTAGGCGTTCGCGCACAATACCGAAGCTCCCGGGTTCGAATCCTGCGAAGTAGCAGGAGTTGTGGATGCGCACTGCCACTGATGAGTCCTATACCAGGATGAAATGGCTGTCTTTCAGTACTTTCAGGTTTCTAATAGTAGTCTAACAATGATTGAATGATGATTTAAAATGTGTAAAAGAACACTAATATCCATAACTCTAATTGTAAATATATTTAGTATGTAAAAGTTAAAGTCATGAATAACTATAGAATTTTGATAGACGAGTGTTTCAATAGATAATTTCATATTCTACTATTAAACTGTCTTGATTTTTATCATTAACTAAATTTTTTAAAAAAAATGTAGCACTTCGTTTAGAAATAAATTCAATCGCAATCGTAAGAGTTAGGACTGAAATTAACTTGGTTTAATTTTTTTGCACCTTCTCTTATTTGTTATGTAAAACGAACCGACTGTGCCATTGAAATAACCGGCACGTTTCAGATCGTTTCTTATTTTTCTTGATTAGTGTCAAGTTGTAAAATCACTTCTTTTTTACATGAACACATGACAAATATATATATATATATATATATATATATATATATATATATATATATTAGAAATATTCCTTTTTGTCATGAGATCTCTTAAGAAATAAAGGTTTAATTTATGATTATAAGCTGTAAGCCATCAAGCAATCGTTTAATATGCATCAATTCAGTTTAGTTCAAATTGAAACTGATGAAAACAGGGGGGGGGCGAAAGTGGTTAAACAGGAAATCCTGAACTTGAGTTTCATGCTATATGATGACATTTATCAGCAATACTCACTTGTACATGTACGTGGTCACACTATTGGAAACTGATAAACTTTTATGTTGTAGACAGTGTTCTAGTAACACTTATCAACATGGTTTTCATTTGTTTGAAGTATGTGTTGATGTCGTCTAGAAAGACAATAAAACGTAGCGGTCAAATCATCTATCTCAAACACTAAATTATATGGTGGAGAAGATTTGTAGCTCAGGTGGATGATTGTAGTGGTGGTGTTTGGTTCTCTGAGCTGGGTTTTTTGGTTGTGGAGCTTTCATCGTTCTTCTGTTGAACAACATCATCAGCACAAACTTCAGATAGAAGGAGTGAAGCATTCGAATTTCTCCACTTCTGGTCTGTAGCTTGTTCTGCTAACCTCGATCAAGATCGAGAACCGAACACCACCACCGTAAAACATATATATATATATATATATATATATATATATATATATATATATATATATAAATTTTTTTGGGCTCTAACTGTTTTTTCTTTAAAACTCTAGGGTATGACTCATTGCAGTACAAATCGTACCACTCCATTCGGACGTAATGCAGCTTTTACAACACCAATTGATCAATATTTGAATAGTCGAATGCCATGTGAAACACAAGTATATTCACGTTGAAAGAAGGAATTATCACAAAAAGTTGAATAAGAAAATTACCTAAATTTATCTATAATTAAAAAAATAACAATGCATTATAATATGTTTCATGTAACGATGATTAGGAAAAATTTATTTAAAAAAATATTTTATTTTTAGGTAACTAATTATATTATATTGTATGTAATTATATACATGAATGGATGCAATATATGAAATGACAATGATAAATATGTGTTATTTAACTAATGAGTTTAATTTAATACTGAAAACCAATGAATAATGTAAGTACCAATATTTGATGATTAAAAAAGACAACAAAATAAAAGTTATGTGTAAATTTAACAAGTATCACAATATCAAATAGATCCAGGTTCAAAAGTATCATATGAGCAAAGCTATTCATACTATTGTGAAGGAGAACACAGGTGAGGGCAACCGAATCGTATTTATCTCAAATTACAGAGTTAATTTGTAAAATAGGAAAACCATATCGTAAATCGTTAATTTGCAAAATATAAACCCATCATTTCGAATTGGACTGTTGTTCCTGTTGAAAACATCAATCCATTGTCTGCCATTTCACTGTTCATGGGTTTCATACAAATCCCATTGTGTTCCCGATATTCATTTCTTGAATTTCCCCATCCTCTGCTACCAGACATTACGATCATCCACGAGTGATATCCTACCTATGAGTAGCTCGCAATAAAATAACTCCAGGTCCAAAAACAATCATTAGAAAAAAAAACGATAAAAATAAAAACCAGCAAAACGTAGAAAGATTCATGATTCAACAATTGCAAAGAGGATCGATTTCCGAGAAAACTCATAGCAAGTGAACTCCAGTCGACATTCATTCGTCAGTGATCGATGGATTCTGCATGTATTTCATTGTCGAGCAGTAAGAGATGCGCGTAATCTGTATGATGTGCGAAGCCACACAATTGTACTTCGAGGCACTCATTTCCTATCGGCACGACTAGTTGGAGACAATTGAGCATCGCATCACAAGTCGAATACAGACTGACCAGAAACGAGTTTCGGTTCTGACGTCCAGACTAGTGGGACCATCGACGTAGGTTGATGTGAATCGTTCGACAGTCTCGTCACGGATGCGACACTGGTGGTGACGTGATTGTTGAGTGACGATTGTCGCAGGGAATCGACTGTAACCCGTAGGATGCGGTTACACTGGTGCGTTTTCATTGGTGTAGTTTGATTGTGCATCACAGTTAATTATTTGTATTGGGGTGTGGACATTCGGATGGTGGGTGGTATGTAGGGTGGATGGGCAGGTGGGGAGTGAGTGGGGTGTGAAGTTGGTAGTCGATCGGTGGTGTTGATGACGCTGTGTTGAGTGGTAGATTGAGCGAGATGGCGGCGCGAAATCAGGTTCGGTGGTGTAGTGGTTATCATGTCTGCTTTACACGCAGAAGGTCCCCGGTTCGAACCCGGGCCGAACCAGGCTTTTGGCCAACAAAACACCGGTCGACGCACATCACGAACTAAACACTCTCATCCCACCGGAGATGCACCATACACCCTGAAAACACTGTCGACAGTGTACAACGACCTGACACCGTCACGGACATACACGTCGGTGTGTGGTTGATGTTCGACTGTCGATGTGACCAATGACGATTTGTGCTCACCAGTATCGTGTGCGCACCTCAGTCTCAATGCGCAATACACATGGGTAGGTAGATGCACTCTTCTGAGTGCAGTCGGATAGCCCATTTCGCTTACCATCACATCCAGATATCCAACTACGAGCAGCACCACTGCACACCATTGAACAAGTGAGATGGCTCGTCAATTCCCATGCCTCACTCACCATGAACAACAGACAACTGACAACTGACGCATTGCCAGACAAACATGTGAAGAGATGCACAGAGACATTGAATGAATGGACGAATATCCGAGTAACGTAATGACGAACTGATTGTACAATTGCGATCGTATGATTTGTCGAGTTTTCGACTATCAGACTGAGTGTACAGAGTAGGCAGTGTGATGAGTTGTCGAGGCTGAAGTCAAGTAGTGTAGGAAGGATTGGCTGCTGATGTGAGTGTAGATTTGTGAGACAACTCATAGCAAGTGAACTCCAGTCGACATTCATTCGTCAGTGATCGATGGATTCTGCATGTATTTCATTGTCGAGCAGTAAGAGATGCGCTTAATCTGTATGATGTGCGAAGCCACACAATTGTACTTCGAGGCACTCATTTCCTATCGGCACGACTAGTTGGAGACAATTGAGCATCGCATCACAAGTCGAATACAGACTGACCAGAAACGAGTTTCGGTTCTGACGTCCAGACTAGTGGGACCATCGACGTAGGTTGATGTGAATCGTTCGACAGTCTCGTCACGGATGCGACACTGGTGGTGACGTGATTGTTGAGTGACGATTGTCGCAGGGAATCGACTGTAACCCGTAGGATGCGGTTACACTAGGTGCGTTTTCATTGGTGTAGTTTGATTGTGCATCACAGTTAATTATTTGTATTGGGGTGTGGACATTCGGATGGTGGGTGGTATGTAGGGTGGATGGGCAGGTGGGGAGTGAGTGGGGTGTGAAGTTGGTAGTCGATCGGTGGTGTTGATGACGCTGTGTTGAGTGGTAGATTGAGCGAGATGGCGGCGCGAAATCAGGTTCGGTGGTGTAGTGGTTATCATGTCTGCTTTACACGCAGAAGGTCCCCGGTTCGTACCCGGGCCGAACCAGGCTTTTGGCCAACAAAACACCGGTCGACGCACATCACGAACTAAACACTCTCATCCCACCGGAGATGCACCATACACCCTGAAAACACTGTCGACAGTGTACAACGACCTGACACCGTCACGGACATACACGTCGGTGTGTGGTTGATGTTCGACTGTCGATGTGACCAATGACGATTTGTGCTCACCAGTATCGTGTGCGCACCTCAGTCTCAATGCGCAATACACATGGGTAGGTAGATGCACTCTTCTGAGTGCAGTCGGATAGCCCATTTCGCTTACCATCACATCCAGATATCCAACTACGAGCAGCACCACTGCACACCATTGAACAAGTGAGATGGCTCGTCAATTCCCATGCCTCACTCACCATGAACAACAGACAACTGACAACTGACGCATTGCCAGACAAACATGTGAAGAGATGCACAGAGACATTGAATGAATGGACGAATATCCGAGTAACGTAATGACGAACTGATTGTACAATTGCGATCGTATGATTTGTCGAGTTTTCGACTATCAGACTGAGTGTACAGAGTAGGCAGTGTGATGAGTTGTCGAGGCTGAAGTCAAGTAGTGTAGGAAGGATTGGCTGCTGATGTGAGTGTAGATTTGTGAGACAACTCATAGCAAGTGAACTCCAGTCGACATTCATTCGTCAGTGATCGATGGATTCTGCATGTATTTCATTGTCGAGCAGTAAGAGATGCGCTTAATCTGTATGATGTGCGAAGCCACACAATTGTACTTCGAGGCACTCATTTCCTATCGGCACGACTAGTTGGAGACAATTGAGCATCGCATCACAAGTCGAATACAGACTGACCAGAAACGAGTTTCGGTTCTGACGTCCAGACTAGTGGGACCATCGACGTAGGTTGATGTGAATCGTTCGACAGTCTCGTCACGGATGCGACACTGGTGGTGACGTGATTGTTGAGTGACGATTGTCGCAGGGAATCGACTGTAACCCGTAGGATGCGGTTACACTGGTGCGTTTTCATTGGTGTAGTTTGATTGTGCATCACAGTTAATTATTTGTATTGGGGTGTGGACATTCGGATGGTGGGTGGTATGTAGGGTGGATGGGCAGGTGGGGAGTGAGTGGGGTGTGAAGTTGGTAGTCGATCGGTGGTGTTGATGACGCTGTGTTGAGTGGTAGATTGAGCGAGATGGCGGCGCGAAATCAGGTTCGGTGGTGTAGTGGTTATCATGTCTGCTTTACACGCAGAAGGTCCCCGGTTCGAACCCGGGCCGAACCAGGCTTTTGGCCAACAAAACACCGGTCGACGCACATCACGAACTAAACACTCTCATCCCACCGGAGATGCACCATACACCCTGAAAACACTGTCGACAGTGTACAACGACCTGACACCGTCACGGACATACACGTCGGTGTGTGGTTGATGTTCGACTGTCGATGTGACCAATGACGATTTGTGCTCACCAGTATCGTGTGCGCACCTCAGTCTCAATGCGCAATACACATGGGTAGGTAGATGCACTCTTCTGAGTGCAGTCGGATAGCCCATTTCGCTTACCATCACATCCAGATATCCAACTACGAGCAGCACCACTGCACACCATTGAACAAGTGAGATGGCTCGTCAATTCCCATGCCTCACTCACCATGAACAACAGACAACTGACAACTGACGCATTGCCAGACAAACGTGTGAAGAGATGCACAGAGACATTGAATGAATGGACGAATATCCGAGTAACGTAATGACGAACTGATTGTACAATTGCGATCGTATGATTTGTCGAGTTTTCGACTATCAGACTGAGTGTACAGAGTAGGCAGTGTGATGAGTTGTCGAGGCTGAAGTCAAGTAGTGTAGGAAGGATTGGCTGCTGATGTGAGTGTAGATTTGTGAGACAACTCATAGCAAGTGAACTCCAGTCGACATTCATTCGTCAGTGATCGATGGATTCTGCATGTATTTCATTGTCGAGCAGTAAGAGATGCGCGTAATCTGTATGATGTGCGAAGCCACACAATTGTACTTCGAGGCACTCATTTCCTATCGGCACGACTAGTTGGAGACAATTGAGCATCGCATCACAAGTCGAATACAGACTGACCAGAAACGAGTTTCGGTTCTGACGTCCAGACTAGTGGGACCATCGACGTAGGTTGATGTGAATCGTTCGACAGTCTCGTCACGGATGCGACACTGGTGGTGACGTGATTGTTGAGTGACGATTGTCGCAGGGAATCGACTGTAACCCGTAGGATGCGGTTACACTGGTGCGTTTTCATTGGTGTAGTTTGATTGTGCATCACAGTTAATTATTTGTATTGGGGTGTGGACATTCGGATGGTGGGTGGTATGTAGGGTGGATGGGCAGGTGGGGAGTGAGTGGGGTGTGAAGTTGGTAGTCGATCGGTGGTGTTGATGACGCTGTGTTGAGTGGTAGATTGAGCGAGATGGCGGCGCGAAATCAGGTTCGGTGGTGTAGTGGTTATCATGTCTGCTTTACA